AAAAATGATTAAAAATAAAAAAATTAAAACAGTTTAATTTAATTAAAAATTCTAGAGAAGAAAGCAAAAAATATAGATTCTAAACTCTGGTAGCATTGTTTTAAAACTAAAATGATGCCAGATGTACAATTCCTAGAAACAACTATTGACAGTAGGTTTAAAAATCCAAATTTTTTATTTAGTTCTAATTTATTAAAAAGATCAAATAAAAATTAAAATTTCATTTAATATTTCTTTGGATTACATAGTTCATTAACTTTTTGCCCATGTTTTTCCACACTATTTTTTTCTTCTTCTTCACCATTTAATATCAAAAATATAATAATTCCCTTAAGAGAAATACTTAAGAAAGAAAAAAATTAATAAACATTTTTCTGACACTTGGTTAATTTCAATCAAAACACACCTACTTTTTTCACATAATCCCATACAGGCGCGCGTTCACACTTACGCTTGCACACGTACGAAAAACTTAGAACACTATCATTTAAATTAAACAACAACGGCAAATAAACAACTAGAAGTTGAAAAATAATAATACAAATTGAAAAAAAAAAACTTGCATAAAAATGCACTGCAACAGTGGCAGACAAAGGGCCTCTTCCATATCATATGCACTTAAACTCCTACAAAACAGTGCGGAAAACTTGTTAAAGGGCTAAGAAATGGATTTATTCTAGTTCTAGCTGAGGTGTAATTCAGTCGTATTTCTGTTTTAGTACATTTCTGGTTCAGTTCTAGTCCAGTTCTAGTGCAGTATTAGTTCAGTTCCAGTTCACTTCGGTTCTAGTCCAGTTTTAGTTCAGTACTAGTTCAGTTTTCGTTCAGTTCTAGTTCAGTTCTGGTTCAGTTCTGGTTCAGTTCTAGTTCAGATCTAGTTCAGTTCTAGTTCAGTTCTAGTTCAGTTCTAGTTCAGTTCTAATTCAGTTCTAATTCAGTTCTAGTTCAGTTCTAGTTCAGTTCTAGTTCAGTTCTAGTTCAGTTCTAGTTCAGTTCTAGTTCAATTCTAGTTCAATTCTAGTTCAGTTCTAGTTCAGTTCTAGTTCAGTTCTAGTTCAGTTCTAGTTCAGTTCTAGTTCAGTTCTAGTTCAGTTCTAGTTCAGTTCTAGTTCAGTTCTAGTTCAGTTCTAGTTCAGTTCTAGTTCAGTTCTAGTTCAGTTCTAGTTCAGTTCTAGTTCAGTTCTAGTTCAGTTCTAGTTCAGTTCTAGTTCAGTTCAGTTCTAGTTCAGTTCTAGTTCAGTTCTAGTTCAGTTCTAGTTCAGTTCTAGTTCAGTTCTAGTTCAGTTCTAGTCAGTTCTAGTTCAGTTCTAGTTCAGTTCTAGTTCAGTTCTAGTTCAGTTCTAGTTCAGTTCTAGTTCAGTTCTAGTTCAGTTCTAGTTCAGTTCTAGTTCAGTTCTAGTTCAGTTCTAGTTCAGTTTCTAGTTCAGTTCAGTCAGTTCAGTTTCATAGTTCAGTTCTAGTTCAGTTCTAGTTCAGTTCTAGTTCAGTTCTAGTTCAGTCTAGTTCAGTTCTATGTTCTAGTTCAGTTCAGTTAGTTCTAGTTCAGTTCTTAAGTTCAGTTCTAGTTCAGTTCTAGTTCAGTTCTAGTTCAGTTCTAGTTCAGTTCTAGTTCAGTTTAGTTCAGTTCTAGTTCAAGTTCTTAGTTCAGTTCTAGGTTCAGTTCTAGTTCAGTTCTAGTTCAGTTCTAGTTCAGTTCTAGTTCAGTTCAAGTTCAGTTCTAGTTCAGTTCTAGTTCAGTTCTAGTTCAGTTCTAGTTCAGTCTGTTCGTTCTAGTTCAGTTATCTAGTTCAGTCTAGTTCAGTTCTAGTTCAGTCTAGTTCAGTTCTAGTTCCGTTCTAAGTTCAGTTTAGTTCAGTGCTAGTTCAGTTCTAGGTCAGTTCTAATTCCGTTCTAGTTCAGTTCTAGTTAGTTATAGTTCAGTTCTAGTTCAGTTAGTTCGTTCTAGTAGTTCTAGTTCAGTTCTGTTCATTCTGGTTCAGTTCTAGTTCAGTTCTAGTTCAGTTCTAGTCGTTCTATTTTCAGTTCTAGTTTCAGTTCTTGTTCCGTTATAGTTCAGTTCTAGTTCAGTTCTAGTTCAGTTCTAGTTCAGTTCTAGTTCAGTTCTAGTTCAGTTCTAGTTCAGTTCTAGTTCAGTTCTAGTTCAGTTCTAGTTTAGTTCTAGTTCAGTTCTAGTTCAGTTCTAGTTCAGTTCTAGTTCAGTTCTAGTTCAGTTCTAGTTCAGTTCTAGTTCAGTTCTAGTTCAGTTCTAGTTCAGTTCTAGTCCAGTTCTAGTTCAGTTCTAGTTCCAGTTCAGTTCTAGTTCCAGTTCAGTTCTAGTTCAGTTCTAGTCCAGTTCTAGTTCAGTTCTAGTTCCAGTTCAGTTCTAGTTTATAATTAAAAGTGCTCCTAATTAAATCACCTGAAATGTAACTGCACGCAAAGCGACCATCTGCAATACAATTCAATCATTTCTTATTCCATTCATAATTTCAACAGTTGTGAGTATTTTTTCTTTTCGTATTTTTCATATATTTTTTTATTTTTCAACAAACTAAAAGATACAAAATAAATTACAATATGTTTACAAATGGCCGTCAGCATAGGCAGCAAATTTTTCGACTCGTTGTATAAGAAGCAAGAAAAAAATAAAAATGCAGAAAGAATCACTTATAAATCATAAAAATACACAAGTTGGAAAAACACTCGTACTATTTGCAAGAGGGAGTGTGTTCGATTGCAGTTGGAGTTGGTAAATAAGCAATAAACTACTACTGCCTGAACCAACTTAAAAAAATATGCATTTTCAAAAAGACCAGTAGTCAAAGTCTTAAAAAGTTGGCATAGAAGTTGATGTGTCGTTAAGCCATGAAAGGGGAGTGGAGCAGGATGAATAATCAAAATCATAATGAAAATAAATGAACAAATGATTTTTAGATTTGTTCCTTAGGAGAATGCAAATAAGTTGCTTTCTAGGCATTTGTTAGTTGCTATTTTTTAAATACTTATATACACTTATTTTTGTTTGTTTTTTTTTTTTTTTTTTTTATTTTAAATATTATATTTTGTTTGTGATTTGAACGTATGGACGCCGGAAATAAACGACGTGACTTTTTTTGATGAAAACTATATGCGAGAGAACTCAAGAATTAAATACATAAAAAAGAACTTAGGTTTGTGTGTGAATTTTTGTGTAAAATCAAATAATCTTATTTTTATATTTTTATTTTCGATTAATAATTAAAGAATTATAGAAATGGTTATGGGTTGAAGAAATATTTTTGCATATACCGTTTGATTTACATATTATTTCTATATATGTATTATGTATGTATATATTTTGTCGATACATTAGTTTATTATATGTACATATGTTATTTATCAGAATAGCAGAAATATTATATCAAACTAAACTTTACTTTTACATATATTGTTTACAGTGGGACTGAATAGAAATCTTAGATTAAAAAGGCTAGTTCAGTTCTAGTTCAGTTCTAGTTCAGTTCTAGTTCAGTTCTAGTTCAGTTCTAGTTCAGTTCAGTTCTAGTTCAGTTCTAGTTCAGTTCTAGTTCAGTTCTAGTTCAGTTCTAGTTCAGTTCTAGTTCAGTCTAGTTCAGTTCTAGTTCAGTTCTAGTTCAGTTCTAGTTCAGTTCTAGTTCAGTTCTAGTTCAGTTCTAGTTCAGTTCTAGTTCAGTTCTAGTTCTAGTTCAGTTCTAGTTCAGTTCTAGTTCAGTTCTAGTTCTAGTTCAGTTCTAGTTCAGTTCTAGTTCAGTTCTAGTTCAGTTCTAGTTCAGTTCTAGTTCAGTTCTAGTTCAGTTCTAGTTCAGTTCTAGTTCAGTTCTAGTTCAGTTCTAGTTCAGTTCTAGTTCAGTTGTAGTTCAGTAATAGTTCAGTTCTAGTTCAGTTCTAGTTAAAATTTGAAGCAGTCTAATAATAAAAAACAAACAATATATAATGTCAATGTTTAAAAAATAATAAAAAGGGTGATTTTTTCAAGGAAAAGTATTAGCGATGGTGATACACAAAATCCAATTGAACTTGAACTTTTAAAAAAAGAATACAAGTCATTAAGGAAAACATTTATATTTTATAACAAACATAATTCATTCTAATTCTAACATACTAAAAACAAGAAAATAATATTTAACACAAAATTTTCCAAAAACTAAAATTTTAATTTATATAATTTATAAATATGAAAATTGGCCCCTTTCGATTTCATTTTTAGAATAGTACTTCATTCAGTTGTGGCCTTTGCTATCTTATCGAATTATTTAGTTTTGATTTAATATGTTTATTTCACATTTTTATTTTTTATTAGATGAGTGAACAAACAAACCAATTATTATTATATTTTGCCAAAAAAAAAATTAAATAAACACAAGCAATGAAATAATATTGTATACATATAGCAAAAATACCTTTGAACGTTAGAGATAATATGACAAAAACAAAAATGTTTTTAACAACAATTAAACTAGCCACCACACACCCCCTTTTTTCCTACAAACACCAGCACGCTTATATATTTTTATTGTAGTTAGCTTATTTTCATAATAAGCGTGTAAAAGAATGGAACCCCCTCGATTTTCGCCAAAGAAGTAGGGAGTTGGTATACGGGTGTTTTCTTTTATGGCTTTCCAATGTCTTGCTAATTATTTTCGAAAAAATTTTGTTGCTATTTTTGAAATCTTATCAATTTTCAACTAAAAAACATAAAAAAGAACAAAGCCTAGAAATTTAAAGAAAAAAATTCAAACAAACGATATTCGTCGTTGTCATATCTTAGAGCTAAATGTTTATGTTTAATAATATTGCGCAAAAACAAATGAATCGAAAAATCAACAACAACAAATCCAAAATATAATAATAATAAATTTTTCGGTAATTAGACTTCAAAGAAGAGAGTTTTGTTAAAAAAAAAAATTAAATGAAAACAACAAAAATTATGTGTTTAAAAATTATGAATCAACCTCAACTAATTTTGTTTAAAATAAATTGAAAATTATATTTTTAAAACTTACCCAATGACGCTTCATGATCTGATATATCAGATATACTGCAGATAGGTGGTGGTAAATCTTTGCTGCCATCAACTGGTTCTTCTTTAATGAAGATATTTTTGGTCTGAAATGTAATGAAGAAAATACAATTTAAATACTTGAAATGAAGATATTTAGAACTATGGATCTATATAAATAATATATTCAAGGGATCTTGAGAAGTTTTCAAACAATCCGTTAGATGTCCTGGTAGTATAAATTTTAGTAAATTACATCGAACCGATTATTTTAAAATTTAAGGAGTATATACAGACTGCAACGAAGTCTGGGCCCTACTCGTCTATCTTAATCGATAATTTCAGAAACTCCTGCACCTAATGGCAAATATATATTCATATCCCCATATAATATAGCCCAACTTAAGGGCCAGTAACGTGAGCTATACTATATCGAAAACCTGATAAGAAGAAATTCTAACGTACAATTCGGATTTAGCATAGCTCAATCCTGGTTATTGGGTTAAAAACATAACTTACTTTAATGTATAATCATTTACTAGATTATATACTTGACCCCTATATTTTCAGTTTATCACAATTTCTTTATCAAAACTCAAATATCCGTTTAAAATTTGTTGCCAATATTTTTTATGTTTTTTTTTTAATTTTCTATTACAAACAATTTATTAAAGTTCTCATTGTTAGTGAATCATTAATTAATTACTTAATGTTTGTTCACACCCTGTAAAATGCAACTAAATTCCCACAATTAATATTCATTACGCATACGCTTAGAACAATAGACTCAAGCTTAATTTTTTGTTGCTTTAAATTCTAATTCTTTATTTTAATATTTTTCATAGCAATTGCAGAAAAAAAAACATATAATCACTTTTGGAATTATGTTTCATTGGTCAGACAGTATGAAATAGAATTCAATGTAAGTTTTAAGTTTTTTAATATGCATTGGAAACGAATTTGAAACACTTTTGGGTTATCGCAATTTTAAAACTCTCTTTAAGCAGGGATGTACACAGTTTTGTGTTGAACTTTTTTGCCGAAATGTTTTGAGTTCTAGAATCAAGTACACAGAGGGAAAAAGTAATATACACGCCTGGTACCAAATTGACACCAAAGTGTTTATCATTTTTCAATACCATCCGTTCTCAAAGTATATACATACTAGGGTGATCGACTCCGTTTTTCAACCGGTTTTATATCCGGTTTTTTCTGCTTTACCAGTGTCGGTTTTTTCTAAATGTTGATCTTTCGAATATCGAATAACCCGTTTTTTCACTTTTAAAAAACCGGTTTCGAATACTTAAATTAAATTTTGAAGTAAATAATAATACAACCCGTCTAAATTTTAAAAATACTCGAGTCGAGGGACCAGAGTATTACATAGATCTTATGTTTAACAGGTTAACCGGTTTTTTTCTGAATTTGAAAAATATCAACCGGTTTTTTCAAATGTCAACTATTCGAACTATTCGATACCCGGTTTTACGTAGGACAACACTATATAATGTTGACAACATTGAAACAATTCGTTGTCGAAATCTAAATTTTATACACATCCGCTGTCTAAATGTTAACAAACGTGTTAGGCTCACTATTGAAAGACAATCCGTTGCCAATAGTTTTTTGCTTACCACGTTTGTTAACATTTAGACAACGGATGTGTATAAAATTTAGATTTCGACAACGAATTGTTGCACATAATGTTATCATACGTGTGTATATACTTTGACAACGGATGTTATTGAAAAATTATAAACTCTTTGGTGTCAATTTGGTACCAGGCGTGTATATTTCCTTTTCCCTCTGTGTACAAATCGAGCTCAAATCAAGCTCAATTTGGGATTAATTTAATATTTTACATTCTTAAATCAATCTTAAATTCATCTTAAATCAAGTATGGATTCGAGCTTAAATCAAATCGAAATTTCTCTGTAGGGTCAAAATGTGTTTTGCTGAAATGTTTTGAATTCTAAAATCAAGTACAAATCGAGCTCAAATCAAGCTCAATTTGGAATTAATTTAATATTTTATATTCTTAAGTTAATCTTCTATTAATCTCAAATCAATTATGCATTCCAGCTTAAATCAAACCGAAATTTCTCTGTAGGGTCAAAATGGATTGTCGACTGAAATTGTATAATTTCAAAAACTCATAATATCCATAATTTTATTACTGTTACCAATGCAATGATAAACATACTTGTCTGCCTATAACTCAAACTTTAGACACTGTATAAAATAGCACTATTTTAACATATGGAATTCTTATTTAATATAGTAATGTGTATATCCTTATATGGCTTTCAAACGATATAAAAGGAATATTGAGTAAAAAAAGAAAAAGCTTCAATACTAAAAAACCTAATAAACTTAATAACGTCATCTTTAGAAAAACTACACACGAGTTTAATAAAAAATTTAAAAAAAAAAACCGAATGATACTTGATGCAATATTTTGAAATGCACACAATTGACAAAAGTTTATTTTTTATGTGTAATCGAATACTTAAAACCACTGTAGTCATCCGTTAACCAATACTTAAAGCAGCATAATGAGATGGCTACTTTGAAAAACGAAAAAAAAAGATATTTTTTCCATTTTGGAAAGCGCAACATATTGTGTCTGGATATTTAAAATCTTTACAATTTAAAGAGGGGAAAGAACCTTCAAGGTTTAGTGAACCATTGTTGAAGAGGTTGTTAGGTTAAATCAATCAAATGGAAATTAATTTGGTAACTCAATCTTAATTAGTTGGAGTTAAAGGGACATTAGCAAAAAATAAAATAAAATACGGAGTCTGTGGTTATTACTTCCTTTCAGAAGGTGTGTTTGTATAAATTATTGAACTTATTTTTAAGAAAGTATTTCGAAAGTAGTCTACAACTTAATTTATGTTTTTCTTTTAATTTTTGGAGAACATATGTTTAAACTGATACAAGTAAAGATTGTTGTAGCACACAAATCAGTTTTCTTTATTTATTATTTTGTTTTCAATAAACTGTCAAAAATGTGACATTTGAAATCTCATCATTTAGACAGAAGCACACACACATACATACACCCAAAAGCAACAAAAAATCTAATGAACCATAGAATTATCTTCATTAATGTCTGAATAATTCTCGCAAAGAAGTAAAGATTCAAATATACGAGGGTAGTTTGAAAATGTTTTTGAAAATAACCAGTATTTCTTAATTTTATCTTACAGATTGCATGAAGGATTTTAAAAATCTCTTGAATGTTTAAAAATAGAAAATTTAAATATTGTTTTCATAAAAAAAAAACATTTCAGCCTTTTCTTATATGTATGTAAATAAGTCTGTATGTGTGTGTGCATACGTGTGATATGTATTTGTTTCTTTTTTTTTTCTTCTTCTTTATTGAATTGATAATTGTGATATTTGTGAAACATTCATTTGACTATTTTGACCTCCATTATCATTATAAATGACAACATCGTTAGTACACACGTACATACAACACTCTTTCATTCACATGCACACATTCACACCCAATTTGTTTTTCCCCACCAGCCAACATTCAAATAATACTATTAAGCGATACCGAAGAAACACAATATCGTCCATCCATTCATTAGTTATATATGAATGTATGAATGTGTTACAATGTATATTTTCGAGTCAAAGTTACAATTGAATTTAAGTCCCCACAAATAATAAAAGTCATGAATGTCAGTTTTACTCTATATTTATCAAAATGTACATATATATATATATTTAGATGCAAATGTATGGAAGAAAATAACTTGACCCTGCAGTTTTTTTGGTACTGTCTCACTTAAATAGGGTACTAATGGTTATCTAGTCTTTAAATAGACTTTATTTAAATAACTTGATTATATTTTGAATTGTTCTACTCTTATACACTTTTATAGTAAAAAATTAACACAACTGATTACTTTACACATCCTAAGTAGCCTATAAAATGTATAACCGTATTATTTCTTTTGTTAAAAAAAAATCTATAGTGTAGTTAACATAAACTCAGTAAAGCCGTTTTATTTACTCTATAAGCACTTAAACTACGGTATAATTATATTTTCTAACCACCCAAGATCCTTGCGCGGACTCATCTAATCAGGCTGCAGCTTCCCGCCCTTATTCGCCCACTGCTATTCAATATATTAAAAACTTTGGGTCTGACCAGAATATCTGTTTTTAAATAGATATTGTTGTGGTTACAGACCCTGCCTCGGAAACTGCCCCCAAAAATACTAGATGATGCTAGTCGAACTCAGTAGTAAAGATCTCATACATACATTCAACTCTATGTATGTAACTCTAAAGTACAAGTATTGCTTCTAGTGCTGCTGTATAGAAAGCAAATGTGTAATCGAACAGTTCTGGACAAAATATTAGTTGAGTATGTTAAAAAAAATATGGATCAAAAATTTCTGTGTACATACTACATCAAATGAAAGATCTTTCAAATACTCTCCTTAGGTCTAATGTTATTGTCTAATATTCAGAAACACTCAGAAAAAAGAATTGAGTGATCCGCATCAAACTGAAGCTGTGACAATAGTAAGAAGTATGCTTGTGATATTAGCGTTTATAAGTGAATTTTGATTTTCAAGTGATTTTCGCAAGGGGACTTTGTATGTGGACTAGGGTAAAAAGAATCCCGATCATAACGAAAATTGGCAGTATCATTTGGACTTATATAAAATTATTTTTGGAGAAATACAATAACACTTAATATATTCATGAGCTCAAAAGTCCCATTTGGGGGTTACGGTTGTATGGGGGCTAGACGAAATAGTCTACCGATTTTAAAAATTTTCAATAGGCTTCGTTTTTGGGTCAAAAGAATAGTATGTTCCAAATTTCATCAAATAATCTTGAAAATTGAATGCACACACAGACGGACAGACAGACGGTCATCGATTCAGGATAATTTTGGGTGTTACACAAACGCATAATATCCTACACCACTATAGTGGGTGTAGAGTATTTGGAAATGGGCCTTCAAAATTCCGTAATTTTGAACTCATTGCGATAATTTCAGTACATTAATACGCATTGATTGAGAGGAATTCCTACATGAGATTCTTAAAATGGCAGTTTCTCGAGACACTCTAATGTACACGCACCAAGTTCAAGGGTCTTATAAATTCTTTAAGTTTAGATCAAATCTAAAGTAGTCAATTAAGAATTGTTGATGTATCCGTAGAAGTAAAAACCAAGTCCTCACTATTTAATTGCTCACAACTGCGTCTACTGGATGTTATTATTACGTCCGTCCATACATTCTCATATTTGTTAGTTTTCTCGTGGAATCTGTATGACAGTCAAGTAGGTTTTTTTTTCTTCTCTTCATGTCGTTATCGTTGTTGTTATTTTTATGATGATCATTTATTTAATTGGTTAAAAGTGTATCATAGAATTGTTTATAAATAGTTTGAAAATATTTACATACAAATATTCTTTAAAACGTATTCCTCCCGTTTGCTACATACACTTACTACATATTTGTCAAGAATTTCTATGTATTCAATAATGCGATTAACACTTTGTATTGAATGAGTTTTCTTTTTTTTTTCGTTTGTCCGTCTGCCCTTCTGCGCGTCTCTCTTGTCGTTGACACGAATGTGTGATAATCTTTGTCAGAAATAAATCATAATTTCGAGACATTTTAAAAACTACATTAGTTTTTTTTTATAATTATACCCTACACCACTTCAGTGGGGAGGGTATATTGGGTTTGTGCTGATGTTTGTAACGCACAATAATATTGGTCATATACCCACCTTAAAGTATACCAATCGGCTCAGAATCATTTTCTGAGTCGATTTAGCTATGTCCGTCCGTCTGTCCGTCCGTCCGTCCGTCTGTCTGTCCGTCCGTCTGTCCGTCCATGTAAACCTTGTAATCAAACTACAGGTCGCAATTTTGAAGATAATTGAATGAAATTTGGTATATGATCTTCTATTGTCCCAGGGACGAAACCTATTGAAAATGGTTGAGATCGTTCCATTATTTCACCTAGCCCCATACAACTGAACCCCCCAATAGGGCTTGTAAACATTGTAATCAAACTACAAGGCAATTTTCGAGATAATTCAATGAAATTTGGCACATGATCTTTTATAGTACGGTAGACAAAGCCTATTAAAAATGGTTAACATCGGTCCATTATTTCACCCAGCCCCCATACAACTGAACCCCCCAATAGGGCTTTTAAACTTTGTAATCAAACTACAGGTCGCAATTTTGGAGATAATTCAATGAAATTTGGCACATGATCTTTCATGATACCGTAAAAGAAGTCAGTTGAAAATGGTTCACATCGGTCCATTATTTCACCTAGCCCCCATACAACTGAACCCGCCGAATAGGGCTTTTAAGTTCATAATTATGTTTAATATACTCATATCTCGAAAAAAAGCTGCAAAAACCAAGTTCTATACAAGATTTGATGACCCTCACGAATTCCATAATAATAGGTCCTCATATGACCCTAGCCCCTATGAAAAGCCCCCATCAAAATTTCACTTAAATGCCCACAATTTTATTCAACAATAAACGCCTTAAATATGTATATCTGAGGCAAGGTACAATTCAATTTAAATGCTTTATTTATTATGGCAAATAAATCACATTATATTTTTGTCAAAGGTGTAGGGTATTATATGGTCGGCCTCGCCCGACTATAATTTCTTACTTGTTTTATTTGATTTGATTTTTTTCGTTTTAATAGTCATGGTAATCGTATAATTAAATGGAAATACTTAAAACGTTTTTGGAATATTTATTTGATTGGTTTTAAGTTTTATTTCCAAGAATAATTATAATATGGACCAAAATGTTTTTGTTGAGGGAAGCATGGAATTTTTTGGAAAATTTAATTTGTTAAATTTTAGGAATAATTACTATAATAAACACTTATAAATAATACTTATCAATTCAGTAGTGTGCATTTTTAAAATCTTTGGAAGAGCAGATTAAACACTACTCGATATGTTGATACAGAAGCCATGCAGAGGATCCTAAAAAACATTTGCCCCATGACAAGACTGTAAATATTTAGATATTTTTTCCGAACCTACAAATAGTAAATTGTAATATGTACTTCCTTGGAAATCCTTCTTTTCTATTGAGCAACTTTAGACGTTTTCTTCACCAAGGACATAACCTCTTTATTTCGCATTATAATAGCTTACAGACTTTTACCCTGAAATTATATTTATGCACATAATGTTTCCTCATTTGAAAAACTCTAAAATTCATCATTGATTTAATTTTATAAAAATATACACGAAGGTTAATTTCAAAATCTTTAACAAACAATATTGATGTCAATACAATTTTACTTGTCGACGCATTTTTATAGACAAAAAAAACAGACAGTCAGTCAGTAAGTCACTCAATAAATAAATGAATAGGAAAAATTAAAAAAAAATCTTAGATTTTTTTCCATGTTATTTTTATCACTATTGTCAATAATATGGAAATGCAATGCATATGAGAAACGTGACAATAATAAATAAAAATTTAAACAATAAGAAGCAGAAAAAAAGGAATTAAAAATTTAAATAAGTTTGTAAAAAACAGAAATATGTAAGTAATACTTACCTCAATTAAATTGGATAAAAATGTGACTTTACGATTCTTTTTCAGACGCATTGTTGAAGAAGTCGTACCCGTTAAGGTGGATGAGGGAATATTAAAATTATCACAATTATTTGTTGTATTTATTGAAGGCGATGATGATGATGACGATGCTGATGATGAAGAGCTTTTATTAAATAAATAGTTTGAGGGAAAAGTTAAAATGTCATTAAAATGAGCCGTTGGTGGCAGATGATGATGGGATTTGTCATAGAACGAAGCCGTTGATGTTGTGGTGGGCAACATAAATTTATTAGATGGTAATTCAGTTTTACAAATCGCTAATTCCATATTGTGTTACAACATCTGTAAAGGAAAGGAAGTGGAAATATATTTTAATTAAAACGTTTATATAATATAATTTATTAATTACTTAAAGACAGTCTGGTAGATAGTTTTTAGTATCCGACATACAGCATAGCACTTACTGCCTTCTTTTAGTCTATTATACCTACCACCATATAGATTACTTAAAGACAGTCTGGTAACTGGTTTTTAGTAGCCGATATGTAACAAAGCTCTTACTGCTTACTTTAAGCCAAAAGTTCTTTATTATAAGTTTGAAAGCTCTTGACTAGTGATATTTTATTATTAAAACTCTTGACTTGTAGCGACAAACAACAGAAAATTATTATACATTATATAGATTAATAAAAGACAGTTCTAGTAACTAGTTCTTAGTAACCTCCATATAGCAAGGCACTTACTGCTTACACTGTTAAGTTAAAAGTTCTTTATTATGAGCTTTAAAGCTCTTGATTTGCGATAACTTGTTATATCCAGCATCAAAAAACCCATAATTATTCTACACTATATAGATTACTTAAAGTCAGTCTGGAAGCTAGTTCTTAATAACCTCCATACAGCAAAGAACTTACTGCTTACTCTGTTAAATCAAAAGTTCTTTATTATAAGCTTTAAAGCTCTTTGACTAGTGGTAATTTATTATACCCACCTTCAACAAAAAAATAAAATTATTCTACACCATATAGATCACTTAAAGACAGTCTGGTAACTAGTTCTTAGTAAGCTCCATATAGCAAGGAACTTACTGCTTACTCCGATAAGTTAAAAGTTCTTTATTATAAGCTTTAAGGCTTTTAATTTGCGACAATTTGTTATATCCAAATCAAAAAACCGAAAATTATTCTACACTATATAGATTACTTAAAGACAGTGTGGAAGCTAGTTCTTAGTAACCTCTATGCAGCAAAGAACTTACTGCTTACTCTGTTAAATCAAAAGTTCTTTATTAAAAGCTTTAAAGCTCTTTGACTAGTAGTAATTTATTATACCCACCTTCAACAAAAAAAAAAAATATTCTACACTATATAGATTACTTAAAGACAGTCTGGTAACTAGTTCTTAGTAACACCCATACAGCAAAGAAGTTACTGCTTACTCTGTTAAGTCAAAAGTTTTTATTATAAGCTTTAAAGCTCTTTGACTAGTGATAATTTATTATACCCAACATCAACAAAAAAAATATTCTTCACTATCTAGATTACTTAAAGACAGTCTGGTAGCTAGTTCTTAGTAGCCGACATATAGCAAAATACTTATTTTGTCATTCAATATGTAACATATCGAAATATTGGACTTATACACATAATAGTATTAATATACTAGGTCCTTACTAGATTCAAAGACGATCTGGTCATATCCGTCTGTCTGACTTTTTCTTGATAGTTCGAAAGGGTTAAGGAAATTTAACAAATAATAAAATTGTGGTAAAAAATAACGAAAGGATCAATCCATGAAGAACACTTTCTGATTTTTTTTTTATTTGTGTTCTCTTTTACTTTTTATAATTTAATTTAGAACTTATAAAATGTTTAATAATTTTAAAACAACCTTTGGTTATGCAAGCAATAAACTAATAGTATTATAAACATATTTCTTTAAATCCCTAAAAATCCTCGTGTGGGTCTTTGACTATTTGAGGATAAATAAAAAATTCCCTAAATAAAAATTACTCAGAAAAAAACTCAAATTTCAATGAATTTTTCATAAAGCAAACAAATCATAAAAAAACTCATAAAAAGTTTATAAACCCAAAAAAAAATTAAAGAAAAAAGTACCCCGTACTATTGCAACTAAAATGTGTACCACATACACACAGATTAAATGCTATCATTACTAAAAAAAATGATCATCATCTTCATTATTATCATGACAATATGATGAAGCGTTTATAAAGCGGCAAAAGATAAAAATATAATGGAAAATAAATTAACAATGAAAGGTAATAAAACAAAAATAAAGAAACAAATATAATAGTGCATCCCCGGTTACCTTTGAAGTCATCAAACTCATTGGCTATGTAAATATTTCACTTACACTCGAGGAAATAAAACAACTAACTTTTTGACAAAAATTGTTGGCATTGTTTCAATATTTACATACATATGTACATACGGCCCAAAGAGCTAAAATACATCAATGAATTGAAAATATAAAAAAAGATTTCTTAAATTTATTGTAGAGTTTTTTTCTACGCATAAAATATTTGTATTTTTACCGCCATTAAGTATTTTTTTCATTTAAACATAAAAATTTTTGTGTCTTTTTTTTCGATAATTTGGGTGCATCACCAACAACACTCAACTCACTCTCTATTAAGATGAAATTTTATGAATGAATTGTAGTGAGGAAATAGCGGCAAATTTTGCTTTTTTGTTTATTAAACAATCTCACACACTTTTTTTCTTTGGTTTAGGAACTATAGTAGAGTACAATGGCTAAAGCAATAAATAAATAAAACCGAAACTCATAATTGTTAAAATAAACAATTAATCGATTATTTGCAAATAATAAACAATGTTATAAACAGTGCTAGCTTTAAAAGAGTTGTAAACGAATCTTTTTATTTAACACGTTGATGTAAATGATGTCTATAGATGTCCACTGCAGAAAAAATCTGCAGTGGCATTCGAATTTAGTTTCAGTAAGTGTTTATTAGGGTGATCGCCTCGGTTTTTCAACCGGTTTTAAAACCGGTTTTTTCTGCTTTACCAGTGTCGGTTTTTTCTAAATGTTGATTTTTCGAATATCGAATAACCCGGTTTTTTTACTTTTTAAAAACCGGTTTCGAATACTTTTATTTGCTTTGTATTCAAAGATTACTTAAATTAATTTTTGAAGTAAATAATAATACAGCCCGTCTAAATTTTAAAAATATTGGAGTACAGAAACTAGAGTATATTTTTCTAAAGCACCTTTGGTTAAACTTTTTTGATTTTATTAATTAATTAACAAATTTCATTTGTAAAATTGATTGGAATAACTGCTTGATAAAATTTTACCAATCTTAAGATTATATTCCTATAACAATAATTAATTTGCGGCTGAAATATTATGGAAGTGTTGGAATGCCTTTGAAAATTGCCTAAACAGGGATTTTAGAATAAGCTAGATTACAAAGTTCCTTATGTTTAACAGAAGTGTCCCACTTTTTTCCTATTTTTTTTATATTAAAGAAATAATGTAAATCAGACGACTAGATCTAAAGTTATAATCTTTTAAACTGTTAAAAATCAGTTCGGGCCATGTTTTATTAATCAAATTTAAACATAAACGTTATTTTTTTCAAATTAAAATAGATTTGTTATTTATAATGAAAAACCGGTTAACCGGTTTTTTTCTGAATTTAAAAATTTTAACCGGTTTTTTTCAAATGTCAACTATTCGAAAACCGGTTTTTGGAAAATGTCGAATAATCGATCACCCTAGTGTTTATACAATAATTATTGAAGTACATAATCCATTTAGATAATCCCAAAACTACACAGAGGGAAAAAGAAATATACACGCCTGGTACCAAATTGTCACCAAACTGTTTATAATTTTTCAATCCCATCCGTTGTCAAAGTATATACATACATACGACAACACTATGTAATGTTGACAACATTGCAACAATTCGTTGTCGAAATCTAAATTTTATACACATCCGTTGTCTAAATGTTAACAAACGTGGTAAGCCCACTATTGACAAACAATCCGTTGTCAATAGTGAGCTAACCACGTTTTGTTAACATTTAGACAACGGATGTGTATAAAATATAGATTTCCACAACGAATTGTTGCATTAGTGTTGTCGTACGTATGTATATACTTTGACAACGGATGTTATTGAAAAATTATAAACTCTTTGGTGTCAATTTGGTACCAGGCGTGTATATTTCCTTTTCCCTCTGTTTACTCCCTATGAACATTATAAGAGTACATGATCCATTTAGTAGTCCTATGTTACGCAGACATGGATCATGTTTATTTTATTTTTTTAACAATGTGGCTTGTATTACATAAGACCATGTTACGGATCATGCACTCCCATAATTTTAACAAGGGAGTACTTTTGGAATTACTCTGATGTAATACGTGGATGGATTACGAGGTCCTCACCTAGGACATCACAATGTTTAACGGAGTACGTTTTTTCCATGAATTTGGATTAATTTTGGAAAAGTGGAGTAGTTTAAATTTTTGCAGGGCAAAATTGAACTCTTCAAACATTTTTTAAAGTGAATGAGTGAATGGGTTAAAGGAAAGCAAAACTGACCTTTTAGAGAAAATTTAATATATAGTGAAGATTGGAGTTTTATGTGAAAATATTAATATTTTGGGGGAAATTAAAATTTTTAGTTTAAATTAGATAGAATTTAAGGGAAAATTTAAATTTTCGTAAATTTTTAGTAAATTTGGAATTTTTACGAATATTATGTTAAAATTTGAATTTTATAGTGAAAATATGAATTTTTAGAGAAAATATAAAATTTTAGTGAAAATATAATATTTTAGAGAAAATATGAAATTTTTAGTGAAAATTGCAATTTTTATTAAAAATTTTAATTTTAAAGAAAATTGTAATTATAAAGAAAATTTTAATTTTATTGAAAATTTAAATTTTCGTAAATTTTTAGTGAATTCTTAGTGAATTCTTAAGAATATTATATGAAAATGTGAATTTGAATTATTTAGTAAAGATAACAATTTATAGTGAAAGTATGAATTTTTTGTGAAAATATGAAATTTTTAGTGAAAATTGTAATTTTAAAGAAAATTGTAATTAAAATTTTAGTTTTATTTAAAATTTAAATTTTTCAAAATTTTTAGTGAATTTTGAATTTTTACGAATATTATATGAAACTGTGAATTTTAATTCTTTAGTGAAAATACCAATTTATAGTGAAAATATAAATTCTTTTGTGAAAATATGAAATTTTTACTTAAAATTGAAATTTTTAGTGAAAATTTAATTTTTAGTGAAAATTTAAATTTTATTGAAAATTTTAATTATAATG